ATTTAAATTAATTAATTTTATTTAATTTAGTTTAGCTTTATTTTATTTTATTTCTTTAACCATCTTTACTTTACTACTTTTTTCATTGTCAATAGATTCGTTTTACGATTTTGAAACTTGAAAAAGGCTTGAGTCGAAGTTATTGATTTCTTCCTCGCAAACGGTCATAAATAAATATTTGTCTAAGCTTAAGATGGATATCTGTATTCACAGCATAAATTATTCGCAGGATTGATTCGTCACTATTTTTTTACCACAACTTTAGAACACTCTTGTCTCTTTTAACATTGAACACTTATATAGGTATATATGAGCATTAGGGTCGTTCAGAAATACAGGTATATGAAAAATCAGGTTTGAAAGAATTCGCATCTTTGCCATGCATTTCTCGTTAATCGCGTTGAAACATTTGAAAATATTTTCGTTTTTTTTCTTATAAATGAAGGAAATGCTGCCATTTTATTAGTTGAGCTTCCATGAGAATTAGAGTTTCGCTTATATAAAATATAAAAATAGAAAAAATATAATTCATAGCTTTTTTTCTTAGAAATTGTGAACATTTCGGTAAATTCGGCACAATTCTTTGTATATTGGATTGATTTGATTTCTTAACATTTATTAGTTTTTATTTTGGGAAGGAGTCACCCTAACAAACACAAATGGCAACGTTTCCGTAGCGCTATCTGTCACCGCAGAAAACATTCGCATAGCTCCTTCCAACTAAACTAACCAAGCGATTTGCATATTTATGTGGCAAAAACCTGTGCGGTCCGTTGCATTGTCAGCTTAGTGCAGTATGCGTATACTTTTGCTACCCCCCTTGTCTTCATCCTGCAGTTGTGTTGTCGCGCTTGAGTAGACGGGTTACTATTGCCCATGTGCCGGTCACGTTGTTGCATGCAACAAGTAAAAAAGCACTAAATTTCGACCTCTACATTTATTTGTTCTTGCAATTCAGTTTTTGCATTTGCTTACTCGCTTGGCTCTGCGTCCACTGGCTTCTTTCTTGTCCGTCTTTCCGCTTATCCTGCCGCACGGCGGCTGTTGTTTTCGTTCTTATGAAAAATCGTGTCTGTTAGTGAGTTTTCGTTTCCTATTACGGAGCCTGCTCATTTTATGGCCACCCCTCGCACGCGCCGACCGGATCACAGTGGCTCACAACAGACAAAAACAACGCCATCGGCCACTCACTAGCCACAAGACGGCAACCACAAATGTATCATCGAACGGCAGCGCCTGCTCAAGCGATAGATGCAGAGACATTTGCATTTCGAAAAGCAACAATAACTTTTTTATGGCAAGCAAACAGGATAATGCTGAGCATGTTCTCAATGAAAGTGGTCTTGACCACGACTGCCTGCAGAACTCTTAACTGCCTCTGCCCTGCCGCCTCGTCCACAATCACATCCAAGTACATTTTCTTAATTTTTTCCGCCGTCATTTTCATTTTATTCTACTTCAATTCAACTGTTGATTGCTGCCGTCTGGCTCTGAACCGCTGCTGACCAAAGCAGAAGAAATATTTTCTTCCAAATAGCAGCAACAACAACTGGTTTTCAATTTATTAGTTTTAATTTACCAGTTTTCTCCAAAGTATAATCGGAACTACTTTTTACTTAAGAAAATTACATTTGTAGAATATTGGGTTAAAATTGTTGCTGGCCTATTTTCCTGCTCTGTGTGAGCTAATGTGCGCGTGTGTGAGGCGGCATTTGCGTGCCACACATTAGTTGCGTGGTGACTGTGCTGAGTTGATTAGTAAGACGTCAAACCGATTTGTCGCAGACATGAAGGCATGATCGAAGTCAGAGCTTGAAGTGTCGGCAATGTGGAACAAACAGAAGACTTAAGCGCGGAACTTGTTCTGAGTTCGATCAATTAAAGTGAAATGAAATAAAATAAAATAAAATAAAATAAAATAAAATCAAATAAAATAAAATAAAATAATATAAAATAAAATAAGATAAAATAAAATAAAATAAAATAAAATAAAATAGAATAAAATAAAATAGAATAAAATAAAATAGAATAAAATAAAATAAAATAAACAAAATATAATAAAATAGAATAGAGGCAACCTAACTCACTCATTAAGAGAGTATATTGTATGCGAGTCCACGTTCAAACTCATCATCGTCCATTCCATTCTGCTGCACCAGCCAACTCTGAACGAGTTTGGTAAAATACATTCATATGGACATATATCTTGGGCTTTACTATTTTTGTTGTTGCCATCATGCGTCTTACAAAGTGTCAGCGACATTGTAAATGAAGCCGTTAACTCCAGCAAGCGGTCAAGAACAACGTTATCCAACGAATGATGCCTTAGATGACAAGTCTCCGGTTGCTGTTATTTTTAGTTCGCATTTATTTTTATTTTATCCCCTTTACAGTTGTTGTTATTACGTTCAGTAAAGTCTTTAAAAACATTACGTAATTTTTTTAATTCCACTTTTTTGTACTTACGGCTTAAGCCTCCACGAAGACGGATTTCTACAGGAAAATATGTAACCAACAACAAAATGAAACAGAAGAAGATGAATATGAAGATGAAGACGAAGTCGAAGCTCGGAGCATCAGGGGAAACGGCGATGTACAATATTTTATTCGCGGCAACAACAAAAACCACACTAACGCTATTTATTATGCAGACAGCAGCCGTCAAGCCAAGCTGAGATAAGTGGCCGAGCTCCACGCAGCGGAAATTTAGTATGCAGGCCAGCAGACGCACAGCGATAAGTGAACGGCCAAACGGCCTGGGCTTGAATCGCCGGCCGTTTGGTGGATTCTGCGCAAAGGTTCACGTAATAGACGAAGATATATGGCGGGAAATGAAGAAAGTCAGAGCAACATATACGAAAAGAAAAAATGAAGTGAACTAACAGCAAATGTTGCAATAGCGGAATATATAGTAATAAAAGCAAAGGAGGAGACTTTAAGCACTAGCGACAATAACGGCAGCAGGCGCAGTGGGGTCCCGTGCTAACATATTTCTAAGCACACATAAGAGTGTCTATATGGAAATGTTGGTTCCCCTTCACAACACCACGTACTTACCGTTCGCCACAGTTGGGCTCACTGTGGCCTACGCGCATTAAAATTCTTAGTTATTGCCACACAATGTTGCTGCGACAACGCCCCTTCACAATGCGGTCATCAAGTCTAACACAGAAGAAACAGAATTCCAAAAGGCAAAAAATTGTCATACTGAACCGAACATTATCATAGCTAACCGCACGGTCGACTGCCTTCACCGGCGCAAAAAGTCTTGCAACTAGTTGCATGCTCTTGCACCCGCGGACGCATGCGCCTGGCAATTCTTTGAGCGCGTCCGACCAACCCGTCGACAGTCTGTCCCTCCGAAACTGTGAGCACACCAAAAGGGAAATAAGGAAGCATTTCTCGGCGGCAGCTAAAGCCAAACCAATTTATGGCAACACCATAACATGATAACATGGTTGGTTGCCCGTCAAAGCCTTTCATTTGCTTTCGGGCCGCTATGAGATACTTGGCTGAAAGCCGCGCGCAAAAATGGAAATTGCTTCGGATATGCGGGCCATTTTATCTTTGTAGAGCAACTTTTATTCTGTTTTATGCATTTATTATTATAAAATTATCTACAAACTTACAATGGGTGTGTGTGCTCGTATTGGGTGCTGAGTTGTGGCCAAATGGAGCTTCAATATGAACTAGCAGGAATAGCAGGAAACACATTAAGCACTTTAATTTACTATTGAAATTATATAAGTGAATAAAAAAAGAATTAATTAAAAGAGAAATAAAATAAAATAAATAGCGACAGTATAAAACAAAATATAGAAAAAAAAAGAATAATATATAGTAAAATATAATATATTTAAATATTACACAATGAAATATAGAAAGAAATAATAATAAAAATAATTTAAACAACAACAACAAGAACAAAATATAATATAATAAAAATTAAAAAGAAAATAAATTCAAAAAAATTTAAGTTGTTAAAGTAAAATTAAAAAATAAATTAAGTAAAAATAAAATAAAAAGTTAATTGAAATATAATATAATAAAATGTAGAATAATAAATAAAAATTTTAAATCATAAAAATAAAATAGTAATGAAAATATATTAAACAACTACAATAAGAACAAAAACAAAATATAGTAAAATATAAAAAAAAAATCAAAAAAAATTTTAATTATTGCAATAAAATAAAAAAAAAATGAAGTAAAAAAAATTTAAAAAAAAAAACTGAAAAATAAGATAAAAAAATTTAGAATAATATATAAAAATATTGAATTATAAAAATAAAATTTAGAGAAAAAGAAATAAATGAAAAAAATTAAATTAGATCGAATAAAATATAATCTAATAAAATAAGGAAAAAAAATGTTTAATTATAAAAATTAAATAAATTTAAATAAAATGAAAACAAATTGAAATAATGAATGAAACAAAAGAAATTACATTAGAATAAAATAAAAAAACACTATTGGAGCTCATTATATTTAGATTTCTATCTTGCTTGAATGCCACTTTTTTGGAAAATAAACAACCTTCAAGCTGAGTAATGTATGCCCACAAAATTTAAATTTCAGGCTCGTAACATAGAACGTAAAATAAGATTAAATTAATTAAAAAGCTCTCCGCGATTTATATTTATATATATACATATATATATAATTGGGGCTTTGTGACCGCTAAAGCGACTTTCCGCCGAGCTTAACTTTTTATTTCAATTAATTTACATAATTTTTGGATGTTGGTCGCACGGGGACTTGAACCCGAGCCTATCGAATGGCAGTACGCAATGCTAACCACTCGGCTACTGCGGCCGTAGCATTCAGTATAATTTAATCATGCCTCGGCACCATATAAGTTGGTATCTTCCTTTCGTATAAAATTTGAACTTTTTTTTAGAACAAAATTACATACTTTTACATACTTTACATTTTTATTTACACATTCACAACTTTCTTGAGTTTAGAAAAAGTTTTTTCACTTTTTCAACTTTTAATACCTTTTTGTTTTGTAAATTGTTTTTCCGTTGCACGCTCAGTTGCAATTCCTTAAGTGCATTGTGTTGCATATTAACATAAATACACACACTCACACACTTATACACGAACTAAAGCTTAGCACTTCTAAGCAAACCAATAAACTCTTCTGAAAGGCTTTCCGTCTTCCAACTGCCATGCGATCCAAAACTGCGGTTATTTACTTTTTTATTACTGTTGTTGTTGCAATTGTTTTATTTGTTTTGTTGGTCTTTCATGCCGTCGTAAAATAAGAAATCTTTTAATGACCAACAACAATTGTTGTGCACACAATTATTCTTCTTCTTCCTCACACAGAAAGTCTTTTAAGCACTTTGAACTTGATCAACGAAATGAAGACGATCTGAACGCGTCGCGTGTATATTTACTACTGAAGCACTACGCTTCCGTAGTACAAGCTTTTAAGAAGAGTTCAGAAGAAGAAAGTATCAGCTTCAGCCGCCACAGCCTCGGCCACCGCCGCTGCTGTCCAAGGCGTTCTATTGGTCACAACTCATTCTTTTCTGGCGTAAAAGGCAAGCTCTGTGAATGAATGAAGGTGAGCAAAGAGAATTGTGCTCGAAAGCAGTGAAGTGAGCTGGTTGTGAGAAGAGAAATGCTGAAAGAGAAATGGCAGTTGTTGCCTGAGGTGGCACGTAAGAAATATGGTTTTGGTAAACGTTGGGTACTTGAAGGGTATGCAAATGAGTTCGCTTCTTACGATCGACACCAGAAGGACTCTGATGTTAACTGCTTCAGAGGAAAAACCCGAAGTAGTTAAGGAAACGCCTTTTATGCTGATTCATAAAGTTTCATTCAGTTCCTTCCTCCCCAGACTTTAAGGTCTGCTAATCTTTCAAATATTGATCCTCAAAGCCAACTGCTGGCCAAGGGTCAGAAGTCTCTGCCACTCATGATTTAAGGAAGCAAATAGTTGCACACGAGATCCTCAGAAACCATTGATTAAACCCGCGAGCTTCTTCTTGTTCCAATGTATCTTTTTTGCCTCATAATATCAAATTTCTACAACAATACCACAACTTTTATTAGGGTTACCATATACACTACATGTAGAACTCTACTGAACATGAAGGATTCATGTTGGCCTAGCTGCAATTCTTATTACTTCGAATTTTCCCCATCAGGCAAAGTGCAAGAGCAGCCCTAAAGATTCCATCCATTGGCAACCCAACCTGTAAAGCCATCAATCGCAGATCAAACGCAAGGGGTGATTAACGGCAAGAGGGTAGTAGGAAAAAAACCGCAACGGAAGCAAAAATCAGCCAAGCTGTTGTAGGAAGGCCCATGGCTTGGCAACGGACGGACGACTGGTTGATTGTCAATCGAACACACACTCACACACACATGCCCTCATGGAAAGACATTCATATTATTAAAGCAACCCGATAACCAACTGCTTGACTGACTAAACGGCCAGCGGCTTGACACGAAATCAGAACTCCAGAAACACACACACATCCATATAGTTGTTTATATGTATTCCTTTAAAGCACTTACGGCGTTCAATATCAACGTCGCTGGGACGAATGCCGACGGAATGCGCCTACAAACACATACATGTATACATACAATTTTGTCTGCTGCACAGCTAATATCTGCTATCAAGTTCCAGTCACTTGTTTGTTGACTGCGGCTCCGGGCCTGCCACTTGACTCCCGATGCCCGATGCGATCATATGTGAAGTTCACATGTGCGCGCATATATGCACACACACACACACTCATACATACCTTTTCAGACACACATGTGTGTGTTTGAACACAGCGCATGCAAAGGCTGATTCGAAGGCCTGGCTGACTGGTTGCCCGGCCGCGCAGGCTAGTTAAGCTGCTCGTCGCTACCAACGCCGATTTATGCTTTGTGATATTGAAAATTTATCACCATTAAAAAGAGATTGGCGCGCCAGCCACAAGAGTCGGGAGGGTCAATTATTGCACAGAGGGCCTGTTCTTGCAGAGGAATGGGCACACAGCTGTGTGTTTGTGGCGAGAGCAGTTGTGTATTGACTTCACATAAATCTCGCACCTTTCCATTCAGTATTTCAGCCTGAACTCGCGATGACGAGATTGTTCTGCGGAATTATGATGTCTCTTCGGGCTAGAAAAGAACACTGTGCAGCGAACCAGCTGTCGGTGGGTGCCTTTGGTGGCCTTTTCGCCAAACTACATTTTACATATGTATATTTATTTATGTCTGAAAGCACATACATATGAATGTGTGAGTGTCTGGATGTTCAGAAGAAGCCGGCATGCCAGCGATTTCCAATTCGCTATAGCGTATGTGGTGCAGGTAATTTGATAAGTGGATTAATTTGAGTTCGCCGCTGTCAAAATCAATCACATCAAATTATGAAGTCGACGATGATGAGAGGACGAAGCCGCAAATTTGTTTATTATCACCTACAAAGTTGTAATAAGATAAGAACAAATGAGGGTTGCTTTAAGAAAGAGTTACATGCTATAAAAAGTGAAGAGAGCAAAGCACTGAAAGAGAGATTTTCTTACTATGAAAGTTGCTACAAATATTGCATTTTGTGAATGGAAAATACTCTTATCATAAGTATCAATTTGCCTTGAACAATGGTAAAAAGTGTACTTGGAAGTATAATCACGATCCCAGTCCTTCCAAAACATTACCGATTTCGAACTGAGGCAGAACAGAAATGTGTACGTGGAAAGATATTGAAATACCATTTTAAGCCAGAAGAAGATGTATGTACTTGCCGCTCTGAGGCCAATAACAATAAGCGGGTGTTGTTGCTAATTTTCAAAACAAAATACATACATACGTAGGTAAAAAATAATACAATTCAATCGTGTCATTCAACTCGTCAAATCTGATCAGCATTGATGAATTGGCATTAAAAGATTGTCACAACTGGCATTGGGTGCGAATTTCGTGTGAAGTAAAAGTAAAGAAAAGGTAATAAAATGTTATTCTCTAATTATACGATCGAGTCTGATAAGGTATTTGTAGCAATATTTGCATTTGCTTTGGGTTTAGAAAAGTTAGGGACATATTTAACACATATGTATGTGGCTGCTTGTAACACATATATAGCCCCGTTTAAAAAAATAAGAATTATTTTTTGCTCTTTATAACCGCTTAGTAACTCTCAATTTAGCTTCTGTGGCGATGTATGGGGTTGTAGTTATTTCTACCAGGCTGTTTCAGTTTCTTCTTTAAAGTATGACCATACCAATGAATTAAAAAAAATGTATCTTCTAACAAATTTATATTGCACAGTATATGTATATAATTGGAGCTTTGTAACCGTTGGAGCAGTTTTTCGGCCGAGGCTCCTCTTTCATTTTGTGGTTTTGCGTCTTGATGTTTTTCCAACAAATGGAGGGACCTAGCATAGTCGCTGATGGTTTTTTTCCGAGAAGCTTCTATTTCATGTCCGAAATACACTCGGACGGGTCGACTTTCCCTGCCGAGGGGCGAACGCAATTAGAAAATCTAGTTTAATATTTTATTTAAATTAATTTTCATTAAATTTTTGATGTTGGTGGCACCGGGATATGAACCCGAGCCTTCCGAGTGTCAGTACTTGCTTAAAATACTGCACGTGCGTGAATAAGAAACTATTTGAAAATAATAAGTGCCTTTGTAAATAGGCCAGCATCTATAATTTATAATTTGCGATTTCGTGCATCAACATAATTTATTGTCAATCCGCAAAATTTGTAGAATGTCTCTTTATACATTTGTTACCATTTCGCTACCCGCCACTGGGACTCTATCCTCTGGGTATGTGCATAAGCCGTTAAAGCTACGAATGCGGCTTTGAGTCTGTAGTGGTCAACCATTTCTTCAACTTATCCGTGCTTCAAGTGGCAATCGTAGGCTCGCCAGAAATACGTACAATTTGCGCTGCTCTTATGAGCGTGCTTCTTTGTTAAGAGGATTGACACCCTTTGACCACAGTAGCTGATTTTCCTCTACCCATCTACTAGGAAAAAATATTAAAAGTTAAAATAACAATGTACTTATGCAAAATTACCTCGCCCTTTAGGATACTCCCACATTCCAAACTAGTTGTCGTTAATCTATACATCTTTTCCGGACCATCAATTTTCTCCTCGGTCGTTTTGCTCCAATTTTCTTTTAACTGCCGGCACTTTGTTTACCTATATTAATACAAATATCAGCGAATCGCCTTTAGATGCACTGAAGATTTATTATTTCTTAATTAACAAATAATTATTGTCTTACATACGTGCATTCAAAATTTCTTACCGCTTTCTATTACTTTTGTTGTTGCCTAAAAATCATATGCGCCTAACAGCTGTCTGTGCTGCCATTGTATTCCAGTAACAGCTGTTGCAGTTTTGAGCGTCATCTACTTGCGAATCTTCCCACAGGGTAACTCAAATAAAGAAACATTTTAAAATTTTTCCATTTCGGCACGAGTTTATGGTTTTAAGTTTATGTACATAAATAAAAAGATTTTTTTTTTGCGTTCGTATTTATTTTGCTGTTGTTTTGCATTGTGCCAAAATGAAGAAAATGCTTTAGATTGATAGATACTGTATATCTCTTTTTGCCTCTCTCGGAGAGCGACTACGGTTCATCTAATATAAGCCCACATTTCGAGTCTAGCTGGTTAATCAATTAAACAGGTTGCGCGATCACGGAACCCTAATCAAGCGTACTTAGATCTACTGGTTCATTTTGATACTTATATTGGTCCTGGGAAGCAAATTAGTTGCTTGCTTTACTGGCGTAGACACCGCTTACGCGATTATAGCCGATTTAACAACATTGCGCCATTCGTTTCTTCCTTTTGCTGCTTGGCGCCAATTGCAAATACCAAGCACAGACAGGTCCTTCTCTACCTGCTCTTTCGGAGCGTACTGCATTGAAAACTTTCAAATTTGGAGTATTCGCACCCATACAAACCACATGACCTAGCCAGCGTAGCCGCTGCTTCTCGATTCGCTGAACTATATCAATGTCGCCATACTCGTACAGCTCATCTTTCCATCGTCTGCGATGTTCGCCGTTGGCAACACGCAAAGGAACATAAATCTTACGTAAAACCTTCCTCTCGAAAACTCTTAACGCCGTCTCATCAGATGTTGTTATCGTCCATGCTTATGCACCATATAGAAGGACGGGAACGATGAGGGACTTGTAGAGTTCGGTTAGTTGCACTGAATTTCAAGGCTTACGTTATTATTTGTGTTAAAGCTGGTTCCTAGATAGAGATCTACGACATCAAAGTTATGACTGTCAAGGGTGACGTGGGAGCCAAGTCGTGAATGCGATGACTGTTTGTGTGATGACAGGGGATAGCAAACAAAGAGTCACCCCATCTGAAGCCTCTTTTTGGTACCGAACGGCTCTGAGAGGTCCTTCCCAATTCTGACTGCACTTCTGGTGTTGTCTAGCGTCAGCTTACACAGCCATATAAGTTTAGGGGGGATACCAAATTCAGACATAGCGGCATAAAGGCAGCTCTTATTCGTGCCTTCGAAGGCGGCTTTATGATCGACGAAGACCACTCTGATAAGGTCCAATCAGTTTGTTGACGGTGGGTCTTTCACACAAAACGCTCCATAGGACCTTATATGCGGTGTTAAGGCGGCTTATCCCACGGTAGTTGGCGCAAACTGTGAGATCGCTCTTTTTGTGGGGCGAGTACATTCAGGCTCCAATCGTCGGAAATGCTTTCATCGCACTATATTTTGCAAACAAGCTGATGCATGCACCTTGTCAGCTCTTCACCGCCATGTTTGAATAGATCTGCCGGGAGGCCATCAGCTCCTGCGACTTTGTTGTTTTTTAAGCGGGCGATTGCTATTCGAACTTCTTCATGGTCAGGAAATGGAATGTCTTTTCCATTGTCATCGATTGGGGTTCGGGTTCACCATATCCGGATTCTCCATTTTCACTACTATTCAGCAGGTTGGAGAAGTGTTCTCTCCATAAATTCAATATACACTGGGCAACGTTGACGGACGACACTGAGAGCTGGGCAACGGAAGAAGTAAGGTTCCACCGTGTCCGGTTATTACGCCGGATGTTATGCTTGCTTGCAACCATTCAGGTTTAGCTAAAATTAAGTCTGAGGGCACCCAAATTAAAAAAGTGGGCGAAGAAAGCAATTAATATATTAATTTGCTTCCACAATAAAGTCTTTAATCAAAATTAAGGGACAGCAATTTGACTTCCAATAGAAGCGATAGCACGCATTTACAATTGAGGTGCCACCAGCACTTCAAGAGCAGAAGAGGAGGCAACAGCAGCAGCCTTTAGCATCAGACAAAAACTATTCCGCATCAAAAGTTCTACCCGAGTGCCGATAAAAGCAATTCATGAACTCTGCAACTACCTCTGCTTCTGCTGCTCCCAGAGGCATATATAAACAACAACAAGAACAGCGGTAGGTTTCTAACTTTTGGAGCAACAAACAAGGGAACAACTGCATGGTGGCCGAGGCAATGGTTGCTTACTGGCAACAAACTGCAACAAAAATTGTACTTCCTTGCCACAAAGTCTAAATGACGGTGAAGTCAGCGGCGGAGATGGTAGGTGTCGCTATCATACCCGCACTCCGTCAGTACGCACTACCGGAGACTGGTTGTCATAGCATTTGCCGCAATGAAGAATGAAGAAGGATGCCTAGTCGTACACTCCGAAGATCCCCTCCAACCACATCCACACCATTGTCCAACGCAATTTGCCAACCAACACTCAGTCAGCCAAATGAACGTTATCAAACCGCAAAATGCGAGAATTTCCCAAAGCTCAACGAATACGCCGTAAATGCTCGTGGGCAAGAGTAGCACCGTAGGACGCAATGGAAAACTCAAAGTAAAAACACCAAAAACACGCAGCTTCCAGCGTGGGGAGTTGTGAGTGCAATAAGGCGGACGCGCTGGCATAACCGCTAAGAATGCTAAAAGTGATTAAGCCAACTAATTTATTAAGCGTAGTTGGGGCAAATAAACATTTTAATAATCAGACACACAACGATGTAGCTGCATCAAGTGTTGCACCCAAAACATAAAGTCTTCTTTTTGAATGTGCCGCGCGCTTCGTATTTTGCGATTTAGCTAAAAATTGCTATTCTCGCATACTTGACTTATTTGCCTCTGTATTTCTGTGTTCACTCGCACCGATCGATCGATGCAAGACCTTGGGCATCTTTTTAAGCCCATCAAGTGTTAACTAGTTTTCTTGTTGTTGTTGCTGCCGCTTGCGCCTTGACTCTTCGATTCGGCAGCCAGTTTTTGACTGAATTTAGCATTGAAGAGACAATCACTTGGCTGACTGGCAGCTGTTGCTTCATGTCACACGTTGCTCGTTGGAATTTAAACGAAGCGCTCTGAAGAAGGCTTAAATGAAGTTTCATCACTTGCATTTGTGAGACATTCCTATAAAGAGTATTAAAATATTTGTAATAAATTAATGAAAATCTCCGCACATACATACACGTACATACATATGACAGTAATTCTCTAAGCATATAAATACTTAGGTTTGGGTAGCTAAAACATTCGTTTTCTCCTTCGCCTGTTCTCAGAGAGCTCAGAAAATCTGAAGAGAAAACTGGAACGCCGTACGGCAACCGAAGAAACTAGCAAGGCAACGTTTTGATTCACTAACGATGGGAATTTATACATCTCTTCAAATAAACAGTTATTTTACTGAGGAGCCCCAGACTTTACAGAACAGAAATTCTGTGCGAACTGGAGATTTCCACGAAAGTTTTCGGTACAGCAGCCGTTGGCGGTAGCAGTAGTAGAGAGACCACATGAAGTGGATACGTGCGTGGTTTCACGAGGTGTTTTAAATGGTGCTTCTTCTTCTTGACTGGCGTAAAAATGACTTACGTGTTGAAAGCCATGTGGGCTTTTCAGAATCTTCTCAACCTGATCCACTTGAACGGATTCAAAGACTTTCTCTTTCTCTGTTTCTACCCGCATAGCCTGTGAGAAAAACTTTTAAAGTTGAAGCGGTTGTCTCTTACACGGACGAGACGACCTGGCTAGCGTGGCCCTCCAGACTAGCAGTTGCTGACGAGAGTGATTCTGCGTTGGATTTCTAGGGTGACATTGTTGTTGGTGCTAAGGTTGGTTACTAGGGAGATGCATATATCTACGACAAAGTCAGTACTGTCAACAGTCAACCCAAATACCCCGAGTGGTTGTTCGGTGTTGTGGATTGAGTGGAATACATTTTGGTTTTCTTAGTCATGACCGTATTTTAAAGAGAGAAAACAAATAATGACGTGATTAAGGAATTAAAACTTACATATAAAAAAGCGAAAGTTTTACAGGAATTTAATATTTGAATAAAAAACCAGACACCAACATTCCCCCTCCCCCTCCTTTAAGAGAATTCCATTCAATTAGTTCCATTAGTGCGTGGTTTACTATGCTTTTGTATTTGTACATATGTATATGTATCTATGTATGTATAAATGAGCAAAAAGCAAAAAGCTTTTTATAATTCGTTTAACTTAATACCAAAAATAACGGTAGCAAAAGGAGTGCACTCGCAACAAACCGTCCCGAATATTCACTGAGCCCGAAGGACTCATTCAGACAGCGAGCACTGGAAAAGCAATAACTGCAATGCAGGCAACAAGATGAACAACACAACACCACACAACACAACACAACACAACACCACACAACACAACACACACACATACAGTCAGATACGCATGCATACCTACGTTTATGAAGGAGTATTTGCATATTTGCACGGTGTTTATGTCGATCTATGGAAAATGGCTTCGGATATATTCTCAATGGCGTCAAGGGACAGTTAAGGGATAATGAAAAAGTTATGAAAAAACATAAAAATGAATTATGAAAAAGTTAAAAAGTTAAAAAACTTTATTGAAAAACAAAATTCTACAATTTCTTGCGCTTTTGAGCGCGTTTCGGAATTCCTGTAACCACTCATTTGCTCTCTCTCTCCCTCGAAGTCACTCAAACTTCTGCAGTCGAAATTGGCAAAAAGACATTTGATGTTTGCTGAAAGCGATTCAAGGCAATCCTTGTGTCCGGGACTCAACTGCACAGAGCAGCTAATTAACATATATGTAATTTCAAAGTACATCGCTATCACCCGCCGGAGAACTTTCAGCTTGGAAATGGGAATTCAGAATACCACTTGAGTGCTAAATTCGCGCTGCCTTTGAGCTTTCGCTGGCTTAGGGCCGAATGTGGAGTTGAAATTGATTTTTGTTCATTTTTTGGAGCTTAGCCA